ACTTAACGATATATTTTGGCTAAACTTCAATAGTTCTTTTCAGAGAGGATGCATCTGTTCATAAATCTATGAACACGTTTTGTAGGTAAGTAGGCATCAACTTCAATATATAGCTACTGTCAGAGCTGACACATGTTCAATGCACACATAACTTAAAGGCAAAAACTTAATGTTCATGGAGATGCTGGCAAAGTCAATGGACCATGAAAGGTAAGCTGCATCCAGTATTTGATGCATGGGCTGAGATTTACTACCCAAGATGCATGGCATCTATGGTCCAAGTTATATAAACTTTATTTATTTTACAACAATTATGAAACAAGTTATTTCAACTTATATTAATCACTCTTGTTGGCCCGGATGTTAGCGCATGGGGGGTCTTAGTGTGGGAGGAAACCGGAGTACCCAGAGAAAACCCACCTTGTCGGCAGGTGACCCCAACCTTTTCATGTCTGATCGGGGAATCGAACCCTGGCCACCTTGGTGAAAGGCAAGTGCGCTATCCACTGCACCACCCCACCACCCAAGTTTGGTTGGTCTAGCACTTACACTTTCAGTGAAACTAACTTAAACACAAAAACTTAATGTTGAAGTCACAGGAAAAGCAACACCTTCTGTGGCGGGGAGACAAAAAACTTCCAACACTGGCAAGTAACTTATTTATGATATTTTTATTATGACATTTTTTTTCTTTCATTCTTTGTTACAAAAATGTTCAATTCGAGTGTCTACAATGTACAGAGGCTAGTTACAGGGTATAAATATACATTCTAGTCATTGGTGCAAAAATAAAATTGTGACTTTCAGTCAGTCCTCTCTTTATCTCATTCATCTGTCTTCCTCCATGCCTTTCTCTCACTCTCTAACATATGTTCTTCTTCCCTTCTCTCTTTATATCTCACTTTTCATTCTATCTTTTCTTTCCCATATCCCTCCGTCCCTCTCTCTCTCTCTCTCTCTCTCGCTTGTTTGTTCCTTCATTCCCAAACATCTCTTCTCCAATTCACTTGCCAATCTAACCCTTCCTCACTGAATTTTTCTTGCGAAAAAAATGCCATTCTCCAAAATGATTGGTTTTAATTCAACAAATTTAACTATTGGTTTAGCATAATAATTTATATTTTTTTTCAAATATAATAATCCAGGTAGTGTGTTCTCCAGGTAATGAAGATTACAATCCGGTTTACCCAGATGAAATATAAACTGTATCTGTTGTTTTTCTTCTGACAAACAAAGACAGATAGTTTCTTGAAAATTATCTTGCCTCTTGATTAAAAAAAATCCTGGTATATTTTAACATTTTAAAATAATATTAAATGAAAATTTTAAGAAAATTATGAAATTATTGCTTAACATTATACATTATAGTTAATTTTATTTATATATTATAAAATTCTGGATTAAAATTAAACTGGATGAAATTAATTACTGATAAATGAAAGCAGATTTATAGATTCAAACAGTTATTGCTGAATTATAAATAAATTATTTTTTTAGCAACAAATTTTGAACAAATTTTTAACAAATTTAAAATATGTTTAAGTTCTAAATAACATAATGAGAAATGAGAAGTTATGCTGATCTATTAGCTAGGGGATGGATGATCATGGTAGAATTTAAAGGCAGTGTTTAAGTATTTAACTCATTCACCCCTGAAATTTCATAATGAACTATTCCAAACTTTGAATCGGAAGAGTTCAAATGTGTCTTCAGGGGTGAATGAGTTAAACAAAGAACTGGCGACAATTACATGGAAAGTTTGACTTTGAAGTGAACAATATATATCAACGAGAAATTCAAAATTTAAACCTAACACATTATCTTACAAACTTGATTTCATTTCTTGGTTCAGATTAAACTATGAAAACAGTTTCTCGTCAAAGAAAAGTTGACATTTCTACAGTCTTATTAAGAATAAAAAGTCTTGCCTTATAGTTGACACCAACCAATTCCTATCATCAGTTGCTAGTTAAAATAAAAGATCATATAAAGAATTTCTCAAAATTGTTTTTTGCCATACTGATATTGAGGTACATATAATAGTTACTTTATTATTTCTTTCAAAATGTTATATACGGAAATTATTTTCATTAAAAAAAATAATTAAAAAAAGAGGTTTTTTTAGTGAAATTTGAAAAAGTGTGATAATTTATTTTAACTTTACTGAAATATGAAATTCAAAAACAGAAAATCGTTAAAAATATATATATTAAGAGATCTAACCATACTGACTATACTTTTTGTTTGATATTTGGTTAAACAATAAATTAGATATATTGCAGGAAAAATGAATTTACACCATATAAAAAATGAAATATTTATCATTTTCCAGTTTCAATTTTTTAATGTGTCATGGTACTGAAGTTTGTTAATTTATTCATGTATATAAAGCAGTGCATTATTTTTTTAAGATGGACGGTTTTAAACATTGCTTCTTAGAAAATTAGATTGAATGAAAAATATGATATGTGCATATATATTGCATCAGTAGGTTATTTATTTCAACATGTTTTATGAAAGGCACATAAAAAAGAATAATTTATAAAACAAGAGTTACCTCCCTTCTATAAGCGAATGACTTGATTTTGATTATCATGGTTTATAAATTGGTAAACTGTAAAGGCGGTTATCTCCCTTTACAGGAAAACATTTCTATCTACGTGAACTCATATACCCCTTAAGACACAACTGAACTCTTCTAATTCAAAGGCTGGAATAGTCCATTATGGAATCTCAGGGGTGAATGAACAGAAACATTGATGAAGTATTATATAAAGAAACAGCACCTTCCAGTGCATGGCCGATATGTTTAATGGTTACATATTTACATCTTACAGAAACTTTACACAAATTTGTACAAAAATATTCTCACACCTTTTTCTTCTTAATCACAAAACCAAGGAATCTAATCTCAATCTCTTCGTTAATTTTTGTAATTCACTTATTGTTCGGTAATTTTCTGCAAATTTTTATCTCCATGTAAAGTTTTATGTAATTAAGCTTGATAGGTTTGAATCCCCTTATGCTGATACAAGATCTGTCCCCTTTTTCTGTACCCAGGGGGCAGTGTAGCATAATACTAAAAACAGTTAACACACAAAATTTCTGCTGATCAGTGACGATTTTGAATGGATAAGTATTTCACACTTCTGTAATAGGGGAAAGAGAAATGCACAGTAAAACCCTGTCTGTAACAGGTAAGATTTTATATTTTAGATTAAGTGGCTAAATTTTTACATTCTACAGTATACACCTATAGAAGTAGATCAACTCATTCACCCCTGAAGACACATTTGAACTCTTCTAATACAAAGGGTTGAATAGTTCATAATGAAATTTCAGGGGTGAATGAGTTGAATGATTTTATGAACCATGGTTTCTCACCAATATCACATCATTTCGAATTGAAATTTAGAAACGCAATAACTGTACCAAACATAAATGATTTTACTAAAACTCTCAAAAAGGTAGAGATGAAAATTCCTTGCATCTTGAGAACACAAACACACTGGCTTTTGAAGCGGACTTTCACAACCGTAGACAAATTACAACAGAAGCACACAAAATACATTTATATTTACATATTTTGATGAGGTACAAAGATTTGAAGTAAAAATGAGAAAACTTTCACACTGCATAATATTTTTTATATAAAACACACTCTCACACTTTTTGCCAATATATTAGGAAACTAACAGCTTGGGATTCAAGTTTTATTTATTTAACTCAGAATATTTCTACTGTTTCAAACTTTTATATGACCAATTATACTGCCCCTCTCAGATAAATGATATATTCTATCTTTATGTTTGCATCCAACTTCGAGGAACCCTCAATTTAAATTTCAGACATAGCTTTACAGTCTCAGCTCAACGGAGCAGAAAAATGATGACACTTGATTAATTTAGCCTTTTAAGCTTTTTATACCAATAATGGAAGTAAGTTAACTTTTGCAATTTCTACATCTATGTTGCATTTTGACCTTTGATGATGAGAAAACAATCTACCAATATATTGTGTTTATTAAATTTCCTACTCAAAACCAATGTCTGGAGTTTTCTGAACGAAGTTACTCCTAAAAGTGAGATCTTAAGTTTTTCGACAAAAGTTGAAGAAATAAATGTACTGAGTATTTAATATTAAATCCTATGTGTTGGCCTCTTTGTGATGTACATCAAATATATTAAACATTCACAATTTATTCCTGAACAAGTTCAAGAAAATATCTCCTGTAATAAAAATATCCATAAATATTTTCAATGAATAATGTTTTAAAGAATTGAATATTTACTGAAGATCAAACAAAAGACGGAGAACTATTATTTACATTTCAGAGACCAAGAACACGTTTTGTAACAAATAAAACAAAATTTTGATAAAAATACACGTGGTGGGAAAAATATTAATTTTCAAAATTTGAACTCACAATTTCAAAAATATTTTCACTACCAAATTTAAACAAAACATGATTAACAACTACTGAGCACCAATCATGAAAATCATTTTTTTCTGCGGGACTATCATAAACAATTCCGCATTGAAGAATTGAAGACGACACATTGGATGATAATAAGCATGGCAGTAAATTCTCAAACTTTGACAAGTGTTAGTTCATCTCTATTGGATTTCAGAATTACTCTTTTGATATATTGCAAGCTATTTTCCAAAATGAATTATTTTAATGAAATATATTTTCAATGGTATTTTTTTCGAAGATGTTTTAAAAGCAAATGGGTGGTTGGTTTCCATATTGGGTAAACCTTTGACAAATGAAAATTAGATGACGCTGATGCAAACAAATGATTAGAAGTCATTGCAATATGTGTCATGTCTGCGTATACCCGATGCGTGAATGTCATTTCTGCGTATACGAGGGTGCGTGTTTACACACACAGCGATGCTGTAGTCTTCACCAGAAAGGTTCTCCCCTTGTCCTGCTTCCCCTGAGCACACGGAATTTCGAGATCATATTCAAGCAAGATTATCAATTAAAGTTTCCCCTTAAGAAAAAATCGAAAAATCCCACATGCATCTCTCAGATGTTTGTTGTTGTGAAACACGGTAAAAAAGGTCAAAGGGCACATAGAACTGTTTATAAAATGTCCACAATAACTTATTCACCGTAGTATTCACAACACCTGGGTACGAGTTTCGTTTGGCATATATTGTTTTCAGCCTACCAAGTGAAAGGAGTCTTTGTGTTGGTCTGTTCGCCAGTGCAGAGGACAGTAGCCAATGGTCACTTAGGTCACACAACACAATTTACGTTACTATGGCAACGGATTTGGTATCCAGCTTGGGATTTTGGTATCATACAATACACGAAGCATGTTTTTTTTTTGTATCCACCAATCAGAATTCAGAACACTAACGGTATCGACACAAACATTGATAAACGACACACAAAGGTACTGGGAATACCCATGCTTGGAAATATCACTTTAGGAAGCACAAATTGTCATGGAGGCCCCCGCATCAATGGCATGGTATCATTACCTGCTGCTTCAGAACGAGGCAGCCTCTTTGTCATACTGCTCAGAATGAGCCAGCCTCTTTGTCAAATTGCTCAAAATGAGGCAGTTTCTTTGTCCTGATCACCATGCCGACACATCACCTCACATGTACTTCACGACACTAAAAATAGCACAAGTGGCTCCAGAACATCATACAACAACTTCGTAAATAACCTTTTTGGGTTTGGACGGATCAGGAGTCGAGTAGCCACTCTCCATACCACTTCCAAAACTGCCTCCTTCTTTATGATCCTCAGGGTGGAGGTCTATATATTGCTGTTGATCTCGTCTTGGTGCTCCATGAAATGATGAATCTGCAACAGGATAAATACGGTTAAATTTCATAATTTCATCAGAATTTTTCTCTCCCTTTTTTCAATATTTTTATTTTCCTAGATATTAATAACTAACTTCTCTTTCTTTTAACAACATTTTTATTTTCCTAGATATTACTTAACCCTTTCACCACTGTGGACCACAATGGACTCATCCACATAAATGGATGGTAGAGTCTACTAAAGTTACCTAGGGGTGAACGGGTTAAGTGAAACACAAATCTAGCCAAGATATCTTACAGACGAACTACCACTCATACTAAATCTGGGACATCTTTACAGAGTTATGGCCCTTTGTAAATTTTCTTTGTTACTTCATGGTCATGGTTGAGTGTGTTTTTACTTAACTCTGTGCATGTAAAGCCCCTTGCTTGCAGAGTAATATAGCTCTTCACTCATTATTCTGCAGTGTAATATAGCTCTTCACTCATTATTCTACAGAGTAATATAGCTCTTCACTCATTATTCTGCAGAGTAATATAGCTCTTCACTCATTATTCTGCAGTGTAATATAGCTCTTCACTCATTATTCTGCAGGGGCATAAAAAGGAAAAAATAATGTTGACTTGGTAGTTCGCTCTGCACACTCGTGAATTAATATATTCGTCTGCGCAATAAATGAGTGTTTTCTGATTCGTGGTCTTGCATATTTATGGACAGGTTTGGTCATGATAAGCTTTAGTTTAGAAAAACCTTCAGACAGATTTACCTGTATGAAACACCTTTAATAATATCATGTATTAGAAAAATTTATAAACGTATAGATATTAAAGTTCCTTCAGTATCAAATTATCTTAAATACAATTGGCCTGGAAAAAAACATGTGTCACATTAAATATACAAGAGCGATTTAATGTATTCAAAATTTATGTAAATTTGTAACTTCAAATTCACATTAATATGCAAATCACATAATTCACTAAAACATTTTACCACTCATAAAGAAATATTCAAAATTTACTACTGGTGCAAATCTGTATAAGTCCGTTTCAGGAACGTAAATTTCAAACCTGTATACCGGTAATCAGATATTCTAGTCGTACACAAAATTAATTGTCCGTTAAATTGTTTGCCTGATCACATCAACGACTTTGGTTGAACTTCAGTAAACATTGGTCATTACACTAAAACGCAAACTAGAGTGGATTTAAATTAAAAGAATAAAGAAAAAAACGAGGACTCGCTGATCTGAAGTATTATTGGCTTAATCAAAGCAAAATTTGCATACTTTGATTTTATTTTTATGAAATATAAACCAATTTAAAACTACAAGGATCAAGTTTCATTGTAATTTGTTCTAATTCATTCAACCCTGAAATTTCATAATGAACTATTCCAACCTTTGAATTTGAAGAGTTGAAATGTGTCTTCAGGGGTGAATGTGTTAAACAAGCGTGGAGATATTAAAAAAAAAATGTTTATCAAATTTCATCTACGGACATGTTAAGTGGCTGAAGCTGACAATGTTCTGACAGACTGGGCCACTTCACTCATTCAGCCCTGAAAACACATCTGAACTCTTCCACTTCAAAGGTTGGAATAGTTCATTATGAAATTTCAGGGGTGAATGAGTTAAATAGGATAATGAAGAGAGCCAGACGCAACAATACAGCGAAATAAACACCCACCTGTTTGTTTGTTATAAGCCTCGCTATTCAGATCTGAAAACAGACAAAATTTAAATTTAAATTTAAATTTTAACAGATAACAGACACAATAATTCATTGACATACCCATGTATATGGTTCCTATATATATACTGGCCTGTTTATGTCCAAACTTGTCTGGCGTTTACAGTGGCCTGTTTATATTAGACAAGCTTGCTTTGATTATTTCTAATCCATTGAGGTTTTATTACATTAAATGATTTATTTTATATAAATTGATTTAAATTTATTCGTTAATCAAATATATTTCTCTTTTGAACAAATTGTCTATTAAATGGTTAACTGACAAATATGTATATTCTGTTAAGTGGTAACTTTCAAATAAATCTTTTCTTCAAAATTCATTATTGTTAAGTAAGACAGTCTGCATATTCATGTCCATTGATTGATTATCAAATGAAAATGATACATTTGCCTAGAAAAATCTTTAACTTAATGCTAGACTTTAACATGTTAGAACAAATTTTAAACCAAAACCCACAATATATCAGTATTATTAAACTTGAGAAGTTCAAAACCAAACAAATTCAAAAAAACAATTTGGAGCAAAATGATTGGTTAATGATTAACCAATCAGAATGCTTATCAATAACAGTGAAAAGAAGTTACAAACTATACCACAAATATAAAATGTTTATATGATAATGAAAACATCTTCAAAATGAAAACAAAAATATTCACCCAAAATACATACAATGTACAACAACATCTAAAGAACTATGAACTTAAAATATTGGAGAGTACTACACGGGAGACAACAAATGCTGATGAAATCATTGGTTACTATGACAACGGTATACACACAAAATAAAATGATATCAAGGAACTAAGGTGGATACAACGAGTGAAAGATGATAAAATAAATATGACATGGAAGTGCTGAGTGATTTTATGGTGAACACAAATCATGCTTAGTCATTTAAAAGTTATCTCCCTTGGTGAAATAACAAAGTTATCTCCTTGGTGAAATAACAAAGTTATCTCCCTTGGTGAAATAACAAAGTTATCTCCCTTGGTGAAATAACAGTATTTCATTAAACACTGTGGTGGAAATATTTCCGTAGTTTGAAGACACTTTCAACTGTAATCTGTTTGTATTGCTGTCTTAAAGGAGCAGAGACTGGTGACCAAAAGACATTCACCATAGTCTACAGTAAATTCTATATCAAGTAACCAACTCTTTCAACCATCAGAAGACAATAGTAGCACCCAATTCAGTGTAAGGGAGATTCTACTGTATAGACAAAGGGGTGAAAAGTATATTTATCCACTTGTGTATGTAAAGATTATCAACTTACTGTCGTTTCGTCTGTTCATTTCGTTTTCGTACAGACGCTTCTCTAACTGAGAATCGTAAGAGGTGTCTAGGGGGATATTTCCATTGGGGGCCGAGCCATTATGGTTATTAGCACGAGAAGGATAATTCATATGGTTCAGTCCAGAATCTGAAATTAATTATCAATTAACACCGTGAAACAACACATCAAAAGTGAGAGCAATTAATTGTGATTGAGTTAAATAGTCTTTCTATCACCGAAAGATTTCCATTAAAAAATTGAATCATACATTGTGTTTTAGTAGCATCAATGGATAAATTATGGAAATTACACAGAAACACAACATTGCTATATAATATTTTCACTTTCTTCTTTGAAATTCAAGAATGCATTTTAGCAGTTACAATTAAATCTTTATTTCATAAGAATATTTCATACAATAACTGAAATAGTTTGTTGAGCATACAGTGCCATCTGGTGGCGAGGACAAGTTTGCAAAGGGAGGTAATTGAAGCTTAGGGAGGGTAAACTGTCAGGGGGATAGTGCCTTGTTGGAAAGGGGGGTGACCAACCACCAAGCTAAGAGAAAAAGGATATAGTGATATATATGATGCTACATAGGAAAGAGAAAACATTTTATACTTGGCATTCATATCATGCTTGTGAAGAATGAACACAAATAAAGCTAAGAAACAGGTTGACATTTTCCACAAAATGCAGATATCAAATATATACTGTATATGAAATTACAAAACCTTGATATAACGCCATTCATTCATCTGCCAAACCAGTATTCATGGCTATCTCTTTCTTCATGATCTAATTATGTTTTTCTCTTTAATTCATAAATGTTTTCTCTATGATTTAAAAACATCGTTTTTTGTTTTATCTCTCATATATGTCCAAGACACTTTAAAAAGCTGAAATTGTGCTGTAAACATTGTGGCAGTATAACATTGTGGCAGTATAACATTGTGCTGTAAACATTGTGGCAGTATAACATTGTGGCAGTATAACATTGTGCTGTAAACATTGTGGCAGTATAACATTGTGGCAGTATAACATTGTGCTGTAAACATTGTGGCAGTATAACATTGTGGCAGTATAACATTGTGCTGTAAACATTGTGGCAGTATAACATTGTGGCAGTATAACATTGTGCTGTAAACATTGTGGCAGTATAACATTGTGGCAGTATAACATTGTGCTGTAAACATTGTGGCAGTATAACATTGTGGCAGTATAACATTGTGCTGTAAACATTGTGGCAGTATAACATTGTGGCAGTATAACATTGTGGCAGTATAACATTGTGCTGTAAACATTGTGGCAGTATAACAAGGTTTTGCTGTATGAACATAATGAAAATGAAATTGAGTTGATATCTTAAGAATTGCTGGTCAACCAACACTTGTATCAAACACCTCAAGTCTCAGGTTTTCATTCAACTTTGAGCTTTCATGTTGATTAAACTTTGCTTGATATTTCCCTCAACTTGGAGATGTCAAATACAAGTGAAGCCGTATATTACATCAGAAAAATATGAGTTTGTGAAAAACCTCTCTCCTGAATTTTACAAAGAGGCATCAATAATAGTTTTCTTATGCTTGTTCAAGAATAACAAGATTTTAACAGGTACTTAAGGTTTTGAAAAAAAAAGAATGGATGACTTGAACGAGCCTTGTACGCTTGGTACTCCAGCAAGGATAAAATCGTTTCCAATATCAAAACAAACAGACGGCAAGGCAAACAAGAAAAGCAAGCAGACAACAAGAACACAAGCAATGCAGGTTATAAGACAGACTTCTGACTAGATCCAAAAACATCTAAAAGGCAGAAGACCTTAGTAAATTAATCATATTCATAGTTTTTCATTTGTAATAATTACATTTAATAAGATATCTGTAAATATTTTGTAATTCCAAAGTCAGGATATCTTAGGAGTTTTCGTATTTTTGAATGACGAATTTAGCTCATCATTTCAGAAACAGAAGTCTGCTGAGAACTAAAGCATGCCAAAGACAGGAAACAGCAACTTGTCTATTGTTTTGATTTCAGAGGTTTGGACCTGATCTTAATGAACTTTCTTTTGTTGTAAGAAAAAATATCTAAAATGTTCATGTTTTGTATGCTGCTAATAAATATTTCTGTAAAATGATAATTTGTGGATTTTTTTTCATTTTTTATTTCATTTAATTGTTTCATTAGAGCTTTGATCATAGCTAAGTTTTGATATAAGTGAAATGACTATTATTTTAATTTTTGAAGTTTTAGAACACGAGAAAAAGTGATGTAAAAAGTGAAGTGGGAAACTAAGTGAGGTTGACAAGTGACCTAGTTTGTGGGAAATTAAGTTAAATTTCAATAACATATGACTGCATTGATTCTTTGAAAAAGGATTAGAAAGTTAGTTTTATTTGCTGTTTGTCGATGAAAAGCAGGTCGGGAAAAGATGAACTCTGGGTCCAAGAACCTTCTTGTCAGCATAGGAAACTATAAAATCTTCAGTGATTTTGAATAGTGACATAAAACGTTGTGGTTGTGTGTTTGGAAATTGGGTTGCTGTGACCTAGTTTTAGTAGAGAAAACCACTACTCACACATGTTAGTACTACCACTCATGCCACGCGAGCCGTCGAGTTGATAGGACTCGGTAAACTCTGTGGTGTCCATACCTGGATTGTCGAAGCCTCGTTTTGGTTTTGGGGGGATATTGCCGTTAACCGGCTGTGTCTGCCTGCTGAAAAACAAAATGCAAATGAAAACAGTGAGGAAGAAGCAAAACAAAGGAATACAACTTATATAAACATAAAGAGGTCAACTAAAATGGCTAGTACGAGTCGGCTATATATATGATCTAATTCTCAAATTTGACGTAAACCTGACTACAAAAACTAAAATCAAGATACTTTTGGCAAAGTGTGTAAAAAATATTTGTGCATCAGATTTTTTTCGGCCAAACAAAGATATTGTTTTTTACCCCAACTAACTCATTCATCCCTGAAATTTTATAATGAGCTATTCCAACCTTTGAGTTGAAAGAGTTTAAATGTGTCTTCGGGGGTGAGTGAGTAAATACCAGGTAATCAGGAAAATTAGGTATGTAGGTAGACAAAAGTTTTTATTTTTCAAACCATGTTTACAAAGATTCTCTAGCATCAGCACTGAGCAGTTAGTTCATTCACCCCTGAAGACACATTTGAACCCTTCCAATTCAAAGGGTGGAATAGCTCATTATGAAGTTTCAGAGGTGAATGAGTTAACAGTGCTTGTTTACAATCAGTGAAAAAAGGACTTGGCTAGGCACTAACATTTTTCAGGACCTAGCTAGGGAAAACAGAATTGACCAACCCCTGTCCCATTCATATATCTGCATGGGCAAATTCAGCTGCGGACAAAATCTTTCTGTGAACATTTCGACCAGGCTACCTTATAAAGGGGCAAAATTAGAAACTGTTTCCGAATTCATTTGTGAAAATAGGTTTAGATAAACTTTAAAAGTTTTGAATCGAACACAAATCCCAATATAACAATTCTGATGCAACACATATTTTTTGCAAAATGTCAATAGTTTTAAACTAAGGATGTCATATTTGAAACACTTTTGCACATTCATGTAAATGAAGTTACACATTTTCCATACAGAGCCACAAGTAGTGAGTGGAGAAAATCCATGCACTTTCTAAGCATAAATATGACCTGTACTGTGCAGTGTATATTGGTAAAAACTATTAACAGTGGGCCGCTAGCTCAATCGAAGGCTGACATCTTTACACTTAAAAACACATTTCAGTCACGATTGAAATTTTCCTTTAATTTTTTTTCTGTTCAACAAAAGAATACTACAAATAAATTCAAACAAACTATTTTCTGATTTGGATCTAATCAACCATTTTCAATTTTATTTTCAATTTTTTAAGAAAAATTGCCAGCTTCCTTCCCATTTAACCAAATGTTTTCGTTACAATTTTGAACATCTTTTTATGAAATATTTGACTCATCAAAATAGTTTTGGAAAACTAAACTACTTTTTGTGTGTAAAGAAATTTTGTTTTAATTCTTTGCAATTCGCACACCAGATATGTGACGATAAAGAAAGAAAGATGGATACTGAATATCTTAAAACTGAAACGACGAGAGCGTAAAAATGGCCTACTTTGAAGGGCTACGACCTGGGTGATAACTTCATTATAAGACAGTGGTGTGGAGCTATAAGCGTTGATAACAAGGATCATTCCATACAAACGGGGGAAACTTGACGAGGAATCAAATTTTCTACTTACTTGGCATTCTGTGAATTTTCGTAATCTTTGGCAGCTGTGTAAAACAAAACATAGGTCGTTCATGAGACAGTCATCATTAAGATAGGAGTGAAAGAGAGAGATATAAGGAAGAAATCAGTAAAACAAAATCCTTTTTTCTGGGGTTGAAGGGACAAATACACTGGATAGACATAATTGGGATGGACAGACAGGCAGACAGACAGAAATGTATATGCATACAAAGACAGTCAGACAGACGGACAGATATAAACAAGGATAGACAGACACATATAGAAAGAGGAAGTGGGAAATGCAGACAGACAGACAGATATATATATATATATATACAAGGAAAGACAGACAGCTAGACAGACAGACAGACTAGAAAAGGCTGACGGACAGACATATATATATACAAGGAAAGACAGACAGCTAGACAGACAGACAGAATAGAAAAGGCTGACGGACAGATACAGATATAAGACTGACGGACACATCACGAAGAAACGAATATGGTAGAGGCTATATTCTTAACCATATGGATTTCACTTTAATTTTGTGTGGACACACGAGTAGAAACAGGACAAACATGTACATAAGACAGACAGACAGAGCAAGGACAGACAAATGCAGACATACCAATATAAGATCCCCAACTTTCAATCTAAATATACATTTTTGAGATGGTGGGATGGTGACAAAAGGTGGTTGATAGAATTGAAGCAAATAAAAGTACAAGAGTTTTCACTCTAATATAACAGTTACTAGGACCATGATGATATAATGAGCTCCCCACTCCCCACCGTCACATCATCAAACTCCCACCCTTACAATATCTATGATATCACAATATCCCATTACTGTGTCAATATTACGATTTCAGCTCTACGATAACATGAATAATGAAATACCCTCTCCCGTCAAATAATCAAATTGACACTGGGAGACAATAAATAATTAATCATTTTTCATTATAACAACAACAACTTGGTCATATCATGACAACATTTTTATATTGAAGTGTATAAGAAATTATTAAGGTCACTGTGCTTGTAATATTGATGTTAATTTCAGCAATCAACACCTGCATCAGAAAGTGTCATTCCCTTCTGTGACCAAAAATGAATGAAATCAATTACATCCAGGGCGTCAATTTATCTCCAGCAGTTTGTGACTGCCTGAACAAAGCCAGACAGACAATGGGCAATTCTAAAACTGTTTCAATGGAAATCTAATTGAAATTTCAACCAGTGTGCACTTTAATTGAACTCATTCACCCCTGAAATTTCTTAATAGACTATGCCAATCTTTGAATTGGAAGGGTTCAAATGTGTCTTCAGGGGTCAATGAGTTAATTCAAGTTTTATACAAAAATGCAGTTGATTTTAAATGTTGAATTTTAGGATTAATCACACAAATTTTGACGATATATGATTTTTTTTTAAACCCAACCCATAAATATTTGTTGGCAGGAAAGTACATTGAATATCTTATTAGCTTTAAATTAAATCTGGGCGATCCCCTCATCATATCCTATATACAAATTTGATATGACCAGAGGTTAGAACTTATGGCAATTGGACTTATTGTAATAAAATATTTTGAACAGTGCCCAAGCATCAACTGTCATAGGAAAACTATGTGGGCGAAACTTGCTCAGGGAGGGCGCAGTATCCGATACTTACCGTTATTTTGCCGCCGCCGACATATGAAGTATACAAGAACACAAAGGAGTACGATGAGAATGGCCGCACAAACGGCTCCTATAGCGATAACTTCTGTCGCCGAAAGGTCAGGGTTGCTCGGCTGACCTGGAAAGACAGAAGGAGCGGAGAACATAAGTAAAGAATGACAGAACTTAAAATTTCTAAAACGTAAAATAATATCGCATGTTATAATCAAATTCATAACTTGTTACTAATTTGTTAGCATATAATCATACAACATTATTACAAATTAAAAATACTAACAAATTAGATTATATACAACATTATATTATATGTCACATCTTTTACCGTTGAGTACCAAGCATAGAATAACCTATATCTTGTGTTAAATCGCTAAACATGTTGAATGGAAACAGATTACGATTCTCAGGTATAAAACACCAACCTCCCATATCTCAATGAAGGCCACGCGGAGATTATCCTTTATAACTCCACATTACACATAAAACATATGGCTTGTAAGACACACCACTAATAAATATATTGACAAATGTATTGCCATGGTAACCGAAGACACATTTTCAAAGGTTTCCAGAAATTCTTTCTACCGTTAGATATATAGCATTATGGAACCAATTAGCTCTATACAGACATTCGGTATGTGCAGACTTCTGGTTGCTAACATGAAATAAATCATCTGATGCATGTTCTTGTGTTGTCAGAATGCAATGAAACAACTTGAGTCTGATTGATGAGCTGCTGCACAAAAACCAAGTGAGTCTGGTACATAAATTACGGCAGAAATCCCTAAATCGTGAATGTTAAAAACCTTCATTGGTTATTTTTAATTGAATTTGTGTTATCACTTTGCATCTGAGGTACATGTTGGACAAATGAAAAATATAAGTTTCTTTAACTTTTTGATTTATTTGAAAAGACTTTCTTTACAAATACAGTACAGTCTGTATTAACCCATTCACCCCTGAAGACACATTTGAACTCTTCCAATTCAAAGGTTGTGGAGTAATTTATTATGAAATTTCAGGGTTAGATGAGTTAATTAAGAGACCACCAAAAGTAAAATTCCAAATTGGTCTCTTTATAGAGTTTGACCATATTGTGTTAATGAAATTGGATTTTCTTCTTCTTTATTTTTAATTTGTATCAATTTTGTAAATTTTCAAGAATATTTACTGTAGTGTACATGTGTTGATGCAATTTCTTAATGGGATATTTTATGCAGTGCAAAACAAAGCAGAGAATAAAAGAGTAACTTCAGGGTGTCCACAGGCCATGCTATACTTAGATTTACTTCTGGTTAATAGAAACTCCGACATTTTTACAACAGTCTGGTTTTGGCCCAATCAATTTCGCCGGTTATGACAAATTAATGTCGTCATATATTTCAAAAGTACATAGCAATATATACAAACCCAACAATTTACAGAGAAAAGGAAGAAGGAAGCTTGAAGGACAAAAAGGAATTGTGATCATCTTTCACAGAAATTTAATGGAACTTTCTTGGAAAAAGTCACTTTTCTCTGCAATCATTCTAAATTTTACAAAATACTTAATGCCCTGGCCACTTTTAAGGATACTGTAGCTAATTAATAGAGCATTATATTATACTCCTATCATTTAAAAGCTAAAATGATGTCTGTGGCTTTACAACTGACAATTTACAGGGAACTGTCCCAGGAACACAAAACGCTAGAACAGTGAAGTCTGAAGTCCAACTTCCATAAATTGAACTTCGAATTATGGCCAGACACATATTAATTACCTATTATTAGGCACAAGGTTTGTGACTGGGAGGTCACGATCACTACAGTGTAGCTATCAAGCATCTTATTTCAAAACAGAACTTTAAGCTACCTATAATATCCTCTTCTGAAGATTTCTCAGGGGGCCACTACAAGTTACCATGACAACATTGCCATTCCAGTCCATTGTGATGTTATCCCTACCTTCCCTTTCCCAGGTTGTTTGACCATTGTCCAAACTTCTGACCATTGTAGCAAGTGTCCATTACAAACCAGATTATCTGGTCTCCCTTATGGTGACAATACCAGAACCTATTCTCCCCTGGGGAGATCTAATTATAGCCCCATATAAATCACCATAATGGCCCCTAATGCACAACAAGGGCCTTCCAAGTCACCTAGAGGGGCCTTACTGGGGTAAAGATGACTGTAAGGGGCCCATAGCTAATGGCCGATTTATGTCAGATACTAATGTCTTCCTCTGAGGAACATGTTGGTGAGATATTGATAATGTAATAATGTATGTACAATATCCTTTGTTGCCCTGTCAAACTAGGTTTACATACAAGCACATCTATTTCTGGTCGTCACTTTACATGCCTAAGTGTCCATTTCACGAAAACAACACTCACTTAATTAGACTTCCTTATTATTGAGGCCAGTTTCAAGTAAAAAACAAAATCAGGTAAAACAAAGTATATATATTCATCATAAAACTGCTATATATTATATCACTGAGTTATTCTATTCATTAACTTTTGAATAACTTCATGAAATTTTTGTTTTAATTTATCAACTTTAAAAGTTACAAATATTCCTTCCATTTTTTTTTTAAATTCCCTCTTAAATAACATATGATGTATGATTGTAATAATTGCTATGTGTTGGTTGTTTCCAACAAAATTTTAAAAGTATAAAAAGAATTTTAAGAAGGCCACAATAAAAACCCCACGCGAGCCAACATCCGGGCCAACAAGAGAGATTTATGTAAGTTGAAATAACTGTTTCATAATTGTTATAAAATATTGTTTTTTTTTTAAAGAATTTCTTGGTTTTGGTAAAACTTAGTAGAAACAGCTATTGTTGTTCATATTCTACATAAATATAAAGAAAGCAATGTACGGCCATAAAGTCAAAAATCCAGTAAATATGATTTGATCGCCGACAATTACACACTGGTCGATTCTTGCATCTGATCCTGTACCCATTTACCCTTGTCAATATCGAAAACTTCAAAAAAACAAGGGGAGTAATCAAGATGCTATCTCTTGACTGAACAAAGAACCATGTATATGTAGGCAAAATGTACTGAAGGATTTTAAATAGTTTGAACAAGAGCAGAAAGTGTTGACAGTGGTATTATATATAGGACTCCCAAAACAGAGGACCAATTTACTCAGGGAGTGTTGGAGCAGACGACACTAAAAATCGACACACCTATAGCTATTTACTTGCAGGTATAACGTCCAGCTTACACCAAATTATCAATTTATAGAAAAAAAATAAAATAAAAAATATCATGGTTTCAAAAGACAATTTGTTATACCTACATAAATATGGGTAAAACTTTAAATAAATAAGTGAATTTAAAAGATTTTATACGAAAATGTACACACATCTTCTTAGAGAAAGAAAATTCTGATATGGTATCTGTATACAAACCCCTATGAACCTATATCCATGATCCGTTTGGAGATGAAAAGAACTTACCTTGGCCAGCCAAAGATTGTTTAGTTTGGTAAGACATGATTTTTTGTTCCCAGCGATGTTGTCAAAAGGTTGTTACAAAGGCACAAAAGTGAAAATATTGAAACTGGCAACCACAGCCATATAGTGGATGTGTGGAAACCATTATCCCCCAGCCATCTAAATGAAATGTTCAACCTTACCACTGACCCAAGGTGGGGGCTCACCAAGGGGAAATGCTGAAACTTATTTAACCCTTATAAGTATTTCAAACAATACTATTGCAGATATTTTTGAACTTTCATTTGGTTTTAGATAAACTTTAGCTGATACACATGAAGATTTTATTATTTAAGTATTTTTTTTTATATGAAAATATATTTTTAATAATAATAATTTTCTTTGTTTAAATATTAAAAACTGATTGAGCAAAAAATGTGTGTTTGAATAAAAACAAAGAAAGCAATAACCAATAACCAAATGACTCATAAACCTATTTTTGGTCATCTACACTAAATATAGATATGTTTTTATCTTCCAATATTTTTTTGGGGTTCAAATCTATTGTCTCCCTTTGAAAAGAATTCTTCTATGTGCAGCTGTTAATAAATGAGCTCTGATTGGCACATGATTGTTTACAGTGAGCCATTACACATGTACCCGTGTTTAGATACACAAGCTGTACAATATAGTAGGGTAAACGAAGCTCCACTTCGTTCCTTATCACGAAAATCAAACATGTCAGGCAGGAATTGGAATCGTTTCGGGTGACAGGTGCTTTTCATAATATCCAATAAAGATTATGATCGTATTTCCACAAATAACACAGAACCTATATGAGTCATCGGAAATTAAAATTTAAAGAACTCGGAATACCTTGAACTTGTTGGTAATCATCTTTGTGTGACAAGGAAGTCCCTTTGATATTTTGATTCGAACGAAGGGAAAAATTACAACAGAGATTTTTTTTCATTTCTATGCATATGTTAGCTACAACTTCAAAGAGAACTTCTGAAGTTATATTTTCAAAATTTATTAATTATTTGATCATTATTACCGAGACAGACTGTTAACAAATCTGGCGTATGAAACATATTGTAGGTATCGAATTGCAAACTTCATACATTTACCTGTTAATATGTATTAGGGATATATATCAATACATAGGGTTTTATTTGTATTTGATTAAAACATTATTTTCAAAAATTCAAAATTTAGTCACATGTAACAGCTTGAGGATGACAATAACAGTCAGGCAATATAATTCACGTTATCAGAATTTCAGAATTTTTATCCACGCATGTGAACTAATCATCATTAGTTACAAATATATTCGGCCTCGCCAAGTCTTCGGCCTCTGTATATCACAAACAAAACATAGGTTTTTGACTCGTACACAAGGTAATTTTCCACGTTTGGGCCCCTCGTAAGTCACTCTTCCTACCCTTTCCTAAGCCGAGTTCTCTCCCTTTTTGGGCCCTCTGGAAGTCATTTTCCATATGTATCTGCCCTGTATGACTAGAACCCTATGCCAAATTCGCCGCCTGTTATAAGTCACTTTCCCTACCCAGACCTAGCTGTGTTAGTGGGGCCCTAAGCCCAAGTTCTTTCCCTGTTTTGGGCCCCTCCGGAATTCATTTCCCCCTAGAAACATATACCTATATGACTAGAACCCTTTGCCAAATTCACCCTGTT